AATGGACTTGTAGGTTGCCATGGCGACACAAGTATATGCCCTATTTAGATATCGTATGTCGTACAATGAACATGTAGAGTACCATGGCGACACAGGTCTATGTTTTTAAATATCATATGTCATACAATGAACTTGTAGGTCGTCATAGCGACACAAGTCTATGTCTAATATCATAAGTCATACAGTGAACTTGTAGGTCGTCATAGCGACACAAGTCTATGTCTAATATTATAAGGCATACAGTGAACCTATAGATCGTTATGGTGATTCAGTGTTGATTCTCTTCTAATGAAGTTCTGTGACATGTTAAAAACAACTAAATTGTAGAGACTCTCACAAGATGTCTTAACCCTAGAGACTCTAACAAGATGTCTTAATCCTAGAGACTCTAACAAGATGTCCTAACCCCTCATAAAATTATAGGCAGGGTCAATAATCCTATCGTTTTTTAAACAAATTTTCTAAGTTATTTATGCAATAAATTGCTGATCGACCCATGACGATTTTATTGGTTACAGGGTTCTTACTAACGTGTGAGTCATAAAAAATGTAAGCCTAAACACCATCAGTATTGCAATTAATCTCATTAATTACTGTGAATGATAGTTTGAGGGTAGAAATAATATATATAAACCAATGTGGCAAAAAAGTTTTTTAACATTTCGTCTCTGTAAATATTGTATTAGAATATTCCTTCATAAAATGTCCGAATTATTACTGACGTCATATCCTGTTCTTCACGTTTTAAGGAATTTACAGGTGGCTCTCTGAGGTGCTAAAAGTTTGAAACACAGATAATTATCATCGTTTTTTTATCCATTTTCTCTGTATTTCTTTTACTCATATTTTTTTTACTAAAAAGATGCGTTTAATATTTACATTTATCTCTCAGTCGACACAAAATATTGATTTTATAAATCTTAAAAAGGTCATAATAACTAATCCAAGTCTGTTGGTGTGGTAAGTTAATGATCCACATCCAGCCATCATTTTCTGCTTGGCAGCGCGTGCCACGAACGTCGGGTACGCCTACCCTCAGCGTCAATGCAATCACACCACTAAACTCTCATTTTGCTTCTTTCTTTATTTTTTTTTCTCACTAAGAGCTTACATGACTTTCACCTTGCATCCTCTACCACCGCCAGGCCCTGCTCTGTTTTCCTGGACGGAGGGGGGATTACTATTTAATGGAACAGCAGAACTACATTAATATCAAATGCGCATCCTTTGTACTTCTTGGTGTTATGAAGCGGCAAGTGTGTACGACAAATATGGCAAGCTGAGATTGGCCCTCATCTAACGGGACTCAGGGGAGAAGACGTTAGCCGAGATGAAAGTCAGTTACACTGTCGTTGTCCCTTTATGTTGCCGTGAATAATTTATAAGCTGTGGCATGAGCCGAGCTTAATGTAAGAGATTTCTTGTGTCCCTCCAGATCGTGGCTACCGACTGAAAACCACCGGGTTTTGGTTCGTTAAATAAGTTGCTGTCTAAGACCGAAGTTTTTCCCTCTAGAATTGATAGTGTTAATGAACTGTCTAATGATTGGTTATTAATTCATACACGCAATATCCGGTTCGTATTTCTCGAGGTAGTCAAATATAGGAACTAGCCACGTTTTTTTAGGTGTAATGCAATGATATTGAACAGAGACAAAAATAACAATACCATCAACAGTCTTCTATTCTGTGTGAGGAGGTCCTGTTTAAGTTATTATATTTCACGGTGCACAAAACGGAAACTGATGAACATCTGTGAGTAGTATTCATAGGAGATTTGGGATCCCCGAATAATCTTTTAAACAACACATTTCAAGTTTATCGACAGTCCGTCGCGATTTTTTTAAAGACAGTTAACAGCTGATAATAAAAAAGAGTAGCTATGCTTAGTTTCTGTAGCGTTCTATTATAGGTAAGATCGAACATTTTGAAAACTATGATAACATGTGATTATTAATTGATGGCCCCTTAAAAGTTGTAAGGTAACCCTACATAAGTAACAATATCAATCGACAGCAGTATCACGTTTCAAAAAGTTAATTTTATATTTTGTTTGGTGATTTTAGAGTGAGATATGCCAACGATCTGTTAAGAAGTGCGAGGTAAAAATTAATGTTTACAATGTTGATACGAATTGTAAAAAGTAAATTTAAATTTTTGGTTAATTTGTGAAAGGTCCCTTGATTTAAAATTTTATGCTACCACAGTAGAGCACCACATTTTAAAATGAATTACATGCAACCAATAAAAAGAAACTTAAGGCCTGTTAAAGTTTGTTTTCTTTTTTGTTTGTTTGTTGGTTTTAATATTGGAATAACGGTGGTTATATTTGTGGATATATATGAAAACACACAGCGACCAGTTATTAACTTAGGCCTACATCAGTTAGACACGGGTTACATTTGTGGAGATGTTTTTTGTTTTTTTTTGTTGGGGGGGGGGGTGTTTTGGTATTGTTTTTTTTAAAGAGTTAACGTCAAAATAAGAGCAATCATACAATTAGTTTCTAACTGAAAATAAAACTTAATATTTTTTGCAAAATTTGATATACATGCTACGTTTATTTATCAAACTATTTCACTTTTCCAAACATAGTTTCCTAACTCGACTAAGAGTCCAGTTTGCGGCAGTATACATCGCTGCCTGTTAACACCTCTAACACGCCTGTATAAATGTTTACTTTGCAAAACTCGGTGAACTGTAGGAAAAATTCTTCGTCCCTGTGGAAAACTTTTTAAGCGTGTTTTTGTTAACTTCCTTGTTGTTAAGCGCAAAGCTACATCATAGATTATCTGTGCTCTGACCACCGTGGGTATCGAAACCCAATTTTTACCGCTGGACCACTGGGGGGGGGGGAGCTAAGCGTGTTTAATGATCACTGTTGTAATATTTTTTTAACTAAACAACTCTAACATTTTAAAGTAAGCCTATGTTTTTTATGTAAGAGTAAACCACGAAAGTTATAAAAAAAACTATTTTTTTGTTCTGAATTTCGTTTATTTATTTTTAATATAAGGAATACACCCACAACATAAACCTAGAAAATGTAAAATGTATTTGTAGGAACCTACAACTTTAAGAAACCAGAATTTCACACAATGTTTTTTTAATGTAAAATGTACTTTTAGGAACCTACAGATTTAAGAAACCAGAATTTCACACAATTTATTTTTGTTAAATGTACTTGTAGGAACCTAAAGCTTTAAGAAACCAGAATTTCACATAATTTTATTTTTTATGTAAAATGTACTTGTAGGAACCTACAGCTTTAAGAAACCAGAATTTCACACATTTTTTTTTTTATGTAAAATGTACTTGTAGGAACCTACAGCTTTAAGAAACCAGAATTTCGCACAATTTTATTTTAATGTTAAATGTACTTTTATGAACCTACAGCTTTAAGAAACCAGAATTTCACACATTTTTTTAAATGTAAAATATTCTTATTTTATCCATATATTGTTTACTTTTCTTGTCAGTTCTTTCTCTAAACATTTTAAATTAATGTCATCATAATTACCGTAGTTTTGTTAACATCTATCTAGCTATCTATCTGTCTACCTTTTGTCTTCTGCCTTCTTTTCCTATATATCCATAAGCTTTCCTGTCTGCTGTGTTCTGTTTGTCTATCACTCCGATTGTCTTCTGCCATTTTGATATTTATCCATCGGCTTACCTGTCGGCCTTCTGTTTATCTATCTATCTCTCTGAAACTATATATTTTTTTATGTCATGACGTCTCGTGAAGTCCATCTTCTTCTCTTGCGGAAATAACGACACGTTCTTTTGGTAAATGCTGATTGAACCGAAATACTTTGTTGACGATATCAGGATAGTTGTAACCTTTGTCAAGCAGCTTCTTGGTGTTTATTCTTCATTTATCTCGCATATAACTATCAGAGAGAGAGAATTAGAATGAGAAACTTACATATCCACTTCTCTAACAAGTTCTTCAAACATACCAAAAAAAAAGCACTTAATCCGTTAAATTAAAATGTTTGGTTTCATCTGTTAATTTTTACGGTCTAATCTGAGTCAAGGTCAAAACGTTTTCCATTGTTAAGTCGGGACCAATCAAAGCACGTTTTATCAAATATACAAAACTAAAAGAGTTGGTATTTACCATAATTGGTTTTCATGCATTACAATATCGGTGGGCTCCACACACACATATTGCATAATATCGAGAAAGTAATTGTTTTTGCTTGTTACATCATTCAGTATGAAGAATTGGCGAGAAGAAGCTCGTGAAATCGCATATTTTTCTACACAGAGATCCATAAAATTAGTAGCGTCAATTGCAATATTGAAAGTATCATTTTATTTAATGTTTTTGTGTGATTAATATGATATTACAGACTCCACAAACAGCACAGACGTGAACCCACAAGAAATGTGTAAACATTCTGATGTAGCAATTAGGAACCCGCGAGGTAGCATTATTTGAACATTTGTAATAAGTTTCTAAACTATCAAAACAGCAGTATACACTTTGTTATTTCAAACTATCTTACCAATAACGCAGGATAATTAAACAGCGGTACACACTTTGTTACTTCAAACTATCTTACCAATAACGCAGGATAATTAATCAGTGATACAAACATTGTTATTTCAAACTATCTTACCAATAACGCAAGATAATTAAACAGTGATACAAACATTGTTACTTCAAACTATCTTACCAATAACGCAGGATAATTAAACAGCGGTACACACTTTGTTACTTCAAACTATCTTACCAATAACGCAGGATAATTAATCAGTGATACAAACATTGTTATTTCAAACTATCTTACCAATAACGCAGGATAATTAAACCATGATACAAACATTGTTACTTCAAACTATCTTACCAATAACGCAGGATAATTAATCAGTGATACAAACATTGTTATTTCAAACTATCTTACCAATAACGCAGGATAATTAAACAGCGGTACAAACTTTGTTACTTCAAACTATCTTACCAATAACACAGACTAATTTTGTGTTCTTCAGGTTTGGTTCCAGAACCGCAGAGCCAAGTGGAAAAAAAGGAAGAAGGCAACTAATGTGTTCAGGAACCCTGGGGTTCTTCTACCGTCCCACAGTCTGCCTCCTCTGGGCTTTATGAGTGACGGGCTGTGTTCCTTTGGAGCCGGATCGGATGCACGCTGGTCCATGGCTGCGGGTATGACTCAAATGGGCACACCACCGCTGACGCTGGGTCCGTCGACTCTCTCACTACAATCTGGTCTCGGTCAGTCGTTGTCTACCGCTTCCATGACCGGAATAAACCAGCCTGGCGTTCCGCTTAACCACGGTCCTTTGGCTGGCTCAGTTACGACTACGGGATGTAATGCCTACCCGTCTCACTACGGTCTAAACACGCTCAACTCGCCGTCCGGAATAGCAACTCCTCACGGCCTCTCCCAAGTAACAACCGGTATGTCGATGGTAGTCGCTTCGCCGCCAATCTCTAGTTCCTCTACGTCGCTGCAGCTGTCCGCCGCCTGTAACATGTCAATAGGAGCACTCGATCCCGGTCTAGGGAACGGTGAAGGAGACGTTTGGCGAGAAACCAGTATCACGTCGCTGCGCCGAAAGGCCATAGAACACTCTGCAACAATGTCCGTGTTCCGATGAAACCTGTCTTGATTTCTTTTTCTCCCGTTGAAACATCCAGAAGAACTTTTATATTATATAATGCTGGGCCGTGTGGAAAACACTGCTTGGAAAAGTGTTCTAGGCCACCATATTGAAAAACCGTAGTAATCACCAGTTAGTATGTCGCAAAACATGAGTATTGAGTGCATTTGTTCGTTATGAGGTTTATCAGTTCTCCTGTAGCCTAAGGTATTTGCTTTTATCATCATTAAGACCGCTGTGAAGTATACTAGTAACCTGTCTACTTGCACAGGGAGCTTTTACACCAGCTACACACGTGCAATGTGTATATAATAAGTGTGCGTGTAGCAGTTTCTGAATATCTAACAAAAGCATGAACAATGTGTGAGAAACTCTCGTGTCGCTAGAAAACAAAGTCTGAAGACGAACAATAAACGTGTACATCGATACACAGGTGTAGTTTATTTGTCTGTTAGGGTCCAGTCACCTTTAGTAGTACTTCTTTGGTTTCTTAACTTGAATTCAAATAATATTGTTAAACTACAAACATCAACGTTGTAAAAAACATAACACTCGATAAAAATCATTTAACAAAACCCCAAGAACTTTTGTAAAAACATAACCCTTTATTACCATCACTTCACAAAACATCAGCGTTGTAAAAATATAACCTTTTATAAAAACCTGATGTTTTGTGAAGTGCGTTGAAAAAAACACAACCTTTTATAAAAATCACTTTACAAAACACCAAAATAGTAAAAACCTATACAACACTGTTGCTTGTTAAGTGAGTGTTATAAAAGATTGTGTTTATACAACACTGTTGCTAGTTAAGTGAATGATATCGGGTGTTATGTTTTTCAGTGCTGAAGGATGTGTTTTTGTAATGCTTGTCTTTTATCAAGTAAATGCTACAGAGTGTTATGTTTTTATAACACTAATAAAGTTAAGTGGTTTTTATATAAATTGTATGTCCAGAACGGTGATGTTTCATTAAGTCATTGATAAAGAGTGTTGTAGTTTTTACAACGCTGATGTTTTGTGAAGTGATTTTTATAAAGGGTTGTGTTTTACAACGCTGATGTTTTGTGAAGTGATTTTTATAAAGGGTTGTTTATAACACTCACTTAAAAAACAACAGTGTTGTATAAACACAATCTTTTATAACACTCACTTAACAAGCGATAGTGTTGTATAGTTATAACACTCACTTAACAAACACCAGTGTTGTAAAAACACAACGCTTTATAAAATACCAAAATTGTAAAAACACATTGCTTTATAAGAAAACATTAGCGTTGTAAAAACTCAGCACTCCATAACAATGGCTCCACCTTACGTTTCATTCACTAATACTAATATTCATTGGACTGTAGCCACATTATCGGATGAAAGCTTTTTTGGTATTGGCTGTATTTGATACAGGTAATTAGGCCTAATCGTAAGAAATTAATGACTTTTTCTCCAATATCTGTCTAGACAGGAACAATCTTGAGCCATGTCCAGGTATTTTATTTGTGTTGTATTGCTTAGAATAAAAACCGCAGAAATTTTATATATATTGTACCAGTCTATGTACCTAGCAAGTGTGAATAGCAGAGTGGCGCTGGGATAGCAAGAAATCACGTGACACTAAGATAGTCAAGAGACCTGGATTACGTGATATTGCGGTAGTCAAGAAACAGAGATCACGTGATACTGCCAATCGAGAGTGTTGAATATTCTCCAAACAGTGTTTGATGTACTACAAGTTCTGCTAAATCAGTTCCAAGCAGTGATAAAATTTCCTAAACACTTGTATCTAACATTCGTATATTTGTCATAAGTACGGGATTCTTGCACGAATACGGACTAAGTGAAATAAAACAGGGAAGGTACGAAAAAATAAAAACAAATTATGTGTTTTTTTAAAGGAATAAAGTGTAAGTTTTCAGAGAAACCATTGAAATCAAGAAACTGTTAAAGTTATGTAAATATATATAACTTTCGTAATCGTGTAAAAGTGATGAAACTATATTGATCACCGAGGCAAAAACAAACAAACAGGGGGCCTTGGCTAAAAACAGGCTATTTGAAATATGAGAGGAGACGAGGTTTTATGAATGAATTAATAATGACTAGATAACATTTTCACCACTACACAAGACTCTTAATTTTGTATAATTCTAAACTATTAATTATGTATCAGACGATGATACGTATAAGCTGTTGGTTCGTCGTAACTACCATTAAGCGATATTTAAAAGTTTCAAAAATAAAAATCTGTACGGTTTATAAAGATTTACTAAATCTCACCGTATAAAAGTTTTACTTATCGCCTAGCTCCAATATTTCATATTGTTCCAGATCTACTCAACCATCACTAAGTTCCAATAATTAATGGTGATAGTTGAGTAGATTTCTTCTGTCTGTAGGTCTGTAACAATATTAATTACTGGAGCTTAGTGATGGTTGAGTAGATTTCTTCTGTCTGTAAGTCTGGAACAATTATTGATGGTTGAGTAGATTTCTTCTGTCTGTAGGTCTGGAACAATATTAACTATTGGAGCTTAGTGATGGTTGAGTAGATTTCTTCTGTCTGTAGGTCTGGAACAATATTAACTATTGGAGCTTATGCTCCAATAATTAATATTGTTACAGACCTACAGACAGAAGAATTCTACTCAATCAAAAAAAAAGGTTCAAGTGTTCATATTGTTCCGAATTTACTGATAGAGAAAAATATATTTTATTATTTATCAAATTCTTGACATTCTCTTTAAAAAACAACAACAAGAATTAACGCATTTTGTTCTACTTTTAAAAACATCTAGCTTTTAAAGTGTAGTAACCAAGACGTGTCTAAGTCTTTTTTTATAGATACTCATTTGCACATAATTTAACTAAATCAATAGGTTTTAGCGTTCGAACCACTATCTGTATAAGCATTCTCAATAAAGAAAAATAATCTTTGGCTTTTAAAGGAATCTTGAAGAAAAAAGCGCTTACCTATTTCCACAAACAAAGGGAAAAAAATAAAATTTTGTTTATGGAAAAAACCAATAAGTTGAATTCCGTTTTTTTTTGTTTATTTTATTGTATAGATTACGGTGTGAGTTGCAATATAACTGGCCAACAGACAAGAAGATACCACACATATACGGTGTGAGTTGCAATATAACTAGCCAACAGACAAGAAGATACAACACATATACGGTGTGAGTTGCAATATAACTGGCCAACAGACAAGAAGATACAACACATACGGTGTGAGTTGCAACATAACTGGCCAACAGACAAGAAGATACCACACATATACGGTGTGAGTTGCAATATAACTGGCCAACAGACAAGAAGATACAATACATATACGGTGTGAGTTGCAATATAACTGGCCAACAGACAAGAAGATACCACACATATACGGTGTGAGTTGCAATATAACTGGCTAACAGACAAGAAGATACCACACATATACGGTGTGAGTTGCAATATAACTGACCAACAGACAAGAAGATACAACATATATACGGTGTGAGTTGCAATATAACTGGCCAACAGACAAGAAGATACCACACATAAACGGTGTGAGTTGCAATATAACTGGTCAACAGACAAGAAGGTACAACACATATACGGTGTGAGTTGCAATATAACTGGCC